ATGGACAGTCTTATGAAAATGATTATATATTTCCTTGCAAATAACTGTTTTTTTTTTAATGTTTGAAGATTGACGCTTCTAGAAACTAGACCGGACTAGATGCCAAAGCCGATATGTCCATGTTACCTATAGGAAATTATGAAAAAATAAAATGAAAACACTGAAATTACATTATTTTGTGTATATATTTGTTATATTGTATATTACATCTTACATGTTATCGTTAATCTTACATATTTTTTATTACATGGAGAAAGATTCCCGGACATTTTTCCGAACTTCTAAAGCAAACAAGAAAAATCGGAGAAAATCAGATACCGGCAGTTTCAGCTGTATTCTGCAAGTTGACGTTTTACAAGAAAATTTATAGTTTTAAAGACTCAGAAATCCGGTTTTTTTCAATTCTCTGCGAGGAACTTTTCGGTTCCTTTCTGCGAAAAACGTGAAAAGGTTTTTTTATTTTTTTTTTCGGTTTCTTTCTCCGAAAAAATTTAAAAAAATTGAGAAAAAAAGATTCTTTAACTCTATAGTAAAATTCTAATATGTCGGTTGAAAGAGTAAACTCAAATATATCGGTTTCTAACCGGAATCTAACCCTAACTTTTCTTGCGTGAGTCAGTGATAGAGGATTGAAAGATTGGCATAAAATTCGAAGTGATTTAAAAATCCAAAACTCACACTATAAAATATCATTGTTAAATAAATTATACCGCTAGTTTGTTACTTTAATTTTCACAAGAAGATAGCTCAACAAAAATTTCAGCACCACGCAACATCGAACGACGTTAATAACACATCCGAACGCGCTTGTAAACAGAAAGTATTATTTCAGCTGCAACTACTGTGCACAGTAGACGAAGTTTATGTTTCCATCCGACAGAATTCAATATTTTATAGCCGAGAGAAACACGAGTAGTGTTGTTACAGATACATTTTTTGAAATAACTAGATATAGATATAAATTTGAGGCACATAGCCAGGTATAAATACAGATATTAGAAAATATATTTAGATACCCTTCAGATACTTTTCAGGGACCTATTGAATGAAAACAACAAAATTAAAAAAAAAAAGGCTTCTCACTGCTGTATTTTGTAAATGTAAGAAAATAAGAAATTATAAATATATCTATTGTAAATTTAATAGCATTAATAGAATTTAATGGCCTATACAATTTAATTTAGTTAAGTTAAAAGTAACCGGAACAAAACTAATTAAAGGTTGAGTTAAAATTTAATTATGTAAAATTATATGTACGTATAAACATATAAAAGAGAAATAGGTATATATAGTCATAACTAACTTCTAAGTTAATTTACCCCACTCATATATATATATATATATATATATATCTATATATATATATATATATAGATGTGTGTATACAAAATATGGGAAAATCGCGGAATAATATTCACGAACGTTAGCCACATCCTGGTCCGGCGAGATTTGCAATACAAATGACGTTCTGATTAATTCTTTGCTAAAACCGCACGCTCCGTATGTAGATAGCGGCGTGGCTTTAGCAGGAGGGAGGACTCATTAGTATGCCGTTCGCATCATGAGAGTTTTAACAATCGAACACGAGGATTGATCCACTGAGAGATTCCAAGTGTATGCGTTAAACGCTTAACCGGGAAGCTGTCGACAGGCGCGATTCGCTCTCGGCGAATCAGGATAAACCCGTTGCCGGTGAACCGGTATTTCATTTCGATGACGTCGGTGAACGATCCCCGAATAGGCATTTTCCGGTCTGTCGTCTGCACGCAGAGGGAACGGCTCGAGAAGGGAAAAGGAAAGAAACGAGAGCAGACCGGTGCGTAATTTCGCCGGGCGGTTGCCGGCCGTCTTAATTGTCTCGCGGAGGACATTCCTTGTGAGCGGGGAAAAAGACACGGGCGCCGGAATATTTCCGTTTCGCGTCTCACGCGACGTGGTGAGCGACGCACGTGGTCGCTCACGTCCGTGGCGCGCAATTTAGATAGAGCGCATTTTCGCGGTAACCGCGTAGTCATGAATGCAAAGCGTCGGGAAATCGCAGTCGTTTTCGCCCCGAGGATGGGATCCTTCGCCGGCGAGTTGATGAAACTCCGGCTCGCGAATCGTCCCGCGACACCGGGGAGAGATTTACGAGGCGTTACGAGGGCGGAAGGCGCGCGTTCAAAGTCGAATCGTGTCGACCCGACGCCGGCGCGAATAATTCGGAAAAATGCAACGCGGTGTTTCGCACGAAGGATCCGTGAAAATAGTAACAAACAGTCGGCACTGCCGGCTGAAAATTAAACGATGCAAACGCGGACTCGCTTGGCCGTGCGGCCAAATTGCGACCGAAAACAACATGTAAACGCGAGCGGTAGGTATTTTTTTTCCCCCCTGCGATTATGCCGGGAGGTTCGATTGTTTTTTTTTTCCATGCCGGAGAGTTGCGTGAAACGATACCTCCGATGGTTGTTGTTGACGAGAGACGATGAGAATATATATGTAATTTGTAAAGGCACGAAGTCAGCGGCGGGTCTCCGCGAGAGGGAATTTCTGTTAATTGCAGGAATTAAGTAATTTATATTCCGCCGGACAGAGTCGTTCGAATGAACAGCATTAAAATGGATAAATCGGCGAATTTGCACGTGAGGACACGGGCGTGTAAATGCCAATTTTGCGTATGCGGAGGTATGCGTCCGGGAGGAAGAAGCGCTGATGGTATGCTAATCGCGGCTGGTTGCCACACAGAAATAGATGCCGAAATATATACACGTGACGATGTGTCGCCGACTTCCAGAATCTTCGTTTTCCGCGACGAATCGGACCGCTTCGGTCAAAGTCACTTGGCTCGAGTCCGGATCTCGACGTAATTATTCCGCCGTTTAATTACAGCTCGAGCGAACGTTACGTTACTCCGTACGGCAGTCTGCATGCAAAGAAAAATCTCGATAACTTTACATCGATCTTGTAATTTTCTACTCAACAACGTGTAACTGTAATACACCACGTGTGTGCATATAGCGATATAAAAATATATGCGTGGTGGTTACGTATATATTTTTATACTGCTACGTCTACTATTTTGCAGTTGCATCGTTGAGTACGAAATCATAATATCGATGTGAGGTTATCGTTACTTGAAGTTATACAGCTACTAATTAAACGCATCGACTGGGTTGCCATTACAATGTTTTTTGAATATGAGAGAATATAATTATATATTATTAATATTGTAATATATTATAATATATTAATATAATAATATATTAAATATGAAGATTATAAGCGCAGCCTCTCAAGATATCGTCAGGGCACATTGGTGGAAAGATTTCTGCTCGATCATGAAGGTAAAGTTAACCACGGCTATGACATGGATGGATGATCACTTCAGAATCGAAACCAACCAGGAAGGATATAAACGGACGGGCATTGCAAGATGAAAAGATGCAAAATTTCAAGCGACTCTTTTTTTTTTAAACAAAGCGATCTAACATTATTCCACCTGGTTTTCATCGCGTCATAATTTTGCTTACAATATTTTGTAGCCACGGTAATTAATTGCCGCAATAATTCGCCGGAAAATCACTGAAGTACTAATCAGTGGTTAATCATTAGTATTTTCCCCGGTGATTATCAGTAATGTTTTTCTGTAAGGGTTGTAAAACTTGAGAAGAAGCAGACGTACAGTTAAGACTTGCCGGAAGAATGAGAAGAGAACTGGAGCAAACTAGTGCAGCCAATTTCAGCGGAAAAGAACAGACCTAGTGAATTGAATGGTCTTTCAGCCGATATACTTGAACTTGGTTGTGAAATATCAACTCTCGGAATACAGTTGAAGCTACTGATGGTGACTGATTCTTCCTTGTTTTCCTTCTTTGTTTAAGATAGTTTGATTTAAGATGGTCGGAAGGAAATGTCATAGGGAACCTTCTCCATGTAATAAAAAAATATGTAAGATAACATATAAGGACATATATGATAAATGCGCGAAATAATGTAATTTCAGTGCTCTTATTTCAATTTTTGACAATTTCCTGGCGGGTGTCACGGACATCCGGTTTACACGGAGAAAAATTTGCTGTGTCGCAGCAAAATCTGTCAGTTATTACGTGGACAGCGGAACGATTTATTAAGAATACCAACTCGCTGGATACATTATTTGCTCAGTCCAATTATTAATTTATAATAATGCTCAGCAAATTAACGTATTCCAAGAATAAATTCATTCGGCAGAATATTTTCTATTCTGGCAGCTGAACCGTTTCTGTTGTAATTACGAATAATTCACCAATTCGGTCAACTAAATTCGATTACTGCCGAAGCAAATATGCAATAACAAAGATCGTTTCGCTGCAATAGCAACATTATTTTTCTCCGTGTAAGTTCTCAAAGCGCCACTCGTCGAACTTTTTATTTTCCAAACAATACGAAATAATTTGCAAAAAATCACAATATATCTCGGCAGAGAAATGTTGCTGTTTTACGCACGTGCATAAATTTTCATTCTCCACCTTCAACAGGGACACCATCATCAGATAGAAGCTGTCATACAATAGAAACAAAACCAAAATGGCACGACGATTTTAGTACCTTCCTTCCAACAAAGACGTCCGCGTCCGGTAGATTCGAATTCGCAGCGACGACTTTGCGCTCGCCTTGAGGTGAGCCGTAATCGTTGTTCCGCAAAAATCTTCGCGGGCGCACACGCGATATTATTACATAACACCCGTTGGAAAGAAAAATTACCTCGGCCGCGTCCCTCTTCCCTTCGATCATCGCTTTACAACGCGAGTTATCACGTAGATCGATCGTCGGTCCCCGACTCGGCGCGTTCGCAGACGCGTCTCGCGCGCGCCGGCCCAGGTAAAAGTTGGCCCTTTGCAAAAAGAAACCGAGGCGAGGAAACCGCGAGACCCGTGTAGACAATTACACACGTAACGGCCGTAATAATGCGGAATCGGACCCGTTTCGGGAGCGAGTCCGAGGCGACGGCTTTTGCCGTTACGTCACGAGAGGATCGGATGGACCGGCCGATCGTCCGGCTGCGGAAGAATAATCGGCCGGTGTGCGGATCAGGGCGTGTTCTTCGCCGTTTCAGTGAAAGTAATCGCATACATCGCGAACTGGACATTGCGTATAAAAACGCCGACCGGCCGGTCCGATGGCACATTCGATCCGAAACTACCACAAGGAGGACAATGATGAGGAGCATCGCGGTAAGTGTCGCCGGGTATCTCTCCGCGTATTACACGCCCGTTACACGCTCGATCGTTGAAGATCGTCCCCCCTCTGCCCCCCNCCCCCCTCCCTCCCTCTGATGTCTAAATTACGTGATTATTATCGTGCGGTCGCCCTGAGATCGAGAAGCTGTCCCGATCGTCGCGTTTTTCGACGAGAATACTCCCACCGGAACAACGGGTTTTCACAGTTTGTGGTAAATACTTGAACGCAGTAATACCTTAATTTGCAAATAAATGATCGAATCTAATGCACAAAATGGCTTCAAATTTGAAAGAGAATTGATTTACTAAAATCGTGGAATATTTTTGTTTTCCGTCAAAGAAATCCGGCGGTTTGAAATTTCGATTTTTCTGTCCGGTGAATATTTTCCACAAATGAATTCTGATATTCTCGATATTATGGATTCAATACTTCGTCGTAGTTGTTTTAACACGTACAAGTAAATGCCTACTTATACGAAGGGAATATTATATTGCACACGGAGAAAAGGGACTTTGTTTCTACGACGGACTAGATAAAAACTGACGAGAAACGAGAACTCGACGACAAGAAGTGATACCTCTGTTACTGCGACTGAAGACATTCGTGTGAGCATTCAGCTGCATTGCAACTAAGTCGAGACAGCTAAAAACAATTGACTGACTGGAAACCTCCTACAGAAATCTTTCAATTCCTACAGTCGGCACAATAAGAGCTGCAACATCTTTCTTTCGGTGAGTTCTGCAACGTCCAATAGGAGAATTCGTTTTTCATTAACTCTCAAGAGATACATTTTCCTACTGGACACGAAGTGTGTTGCGAAACTCATCGAAAAAAGGTGTTGCAACTTTCATTAGGCCGACCGTGCAACCGAATTTTCGTCAAGTCCATAAGCAACGGAAAATATAGTTACACACTGAGAAAAAGGTTTCTTCAAATTTAATAAATTTTATCGCGTCCAAACATATTTCATCGTTGGCATATTTCGAAGGAACTAATGTTTCGATTAATAAGATCGTTAGACTTTTTCAACAAATATGTATCTGCACCCTAAATAAGAAATTTGTTTGAAACGAATGATAATTTATTCATAAAGAAATTATTTGTTCCATTTTGCTTTTGCTTCATTTATCGTAACCGAATAATATTTTATTCGATTAGAAAATATTATTTCATACACAATAGGCAATAATAGCGTTCTTTCTGTTAAATCGAGTTTTCTTGAATGAGATAACAAAACATTCACTCAAATAATATTTCACATATGCTGTTTCTGACAATGGACTGGTCGGACAGATATCAACCACCAAGTCGAAAGGAACCTTTTTCCGTGCGCCGACAGAATAGTTTCCCGCGTAAATACTCAATTGTACCTCCGCTTTCGTAAATATTTGCCAAGAATCGGAGGAAACACCACTTGAGCCGGCTGAAAATTACTCGAAGCGGCGTTACATTTTCCTCGAATGTGGCGGAACTTGAACGACAGAGCTGCCAGAGCCGCTCGTGAATTCCGATTACCGGCGAATCTGTCTGACATGGGCGAACTTTTGTCGATTGCGCAGATCGTTCTGCTGGCGACGGCCGTGTTGGCGGCTCCCAAGGAGGATAACTCGAGCCTGAAGGACAAGCGGAGTCTGTTGCTGGGCGACGCCGGTCTCTCGAGCTACACGGGCGGCATCGGTCTGTCGGGCTACGCCGCCGGGTACGGCACCGGCCTCGGCAGCAAGTTGGGCCTCACCTACGGCTCGTACGGTAGCGGGCTCGCGCACGCGTACACCTCCGGTTTGGGCTACGGCAAATACGGCGGCTCCTACGGTATCGGCAGCACCTATGACCTCGGAGGACACGGCTTGATCGCCGGCCACAGCCTCATCGGCGGCGGTCTCATCGGCGGCCACGGCCTCATCGGCGACTCCTTGGCGCACGCCAAGACCGAGCGCATCACCGGCCTCACCGTTCACCGCGAGGTCCAAGTTCCGGTACCGGTGCCGCAGCCCGTTCCGGTCCCAGTGACCAAGCACGTGCCGGTCCCGCACCCCGTACCCGTCAAAGTCGACCGTCCCTACGCGGTCCCGGTGCCACAACCCGTGCCCGTGCCCGTCACCCGCCACGTACCCGTGAAGGTCGACCGTCCGTACCCGGTGCCGGTGCCGCAACCCATCGAGGTCCGCGTCCCGCAGCCGGTGCCGTACCCGGTAGCCCAGCCCGTACCGGTCCCGGTGTCCGTGACGAAGCACGTGCCGATCTCCGTGCCGTCGATCGCCGTGTCGCCCTTGCCAGCCGGCATCTCCACCGGCCATGAACTCATCGGAATAGGCCACGATCTCGGCTCGGCGAGTCTGCACAGCGGCATCGTCTCCGACATCGGCAGTGTCGGCATCCACCACCTGGGAGACAGCTTCGCCACGGCCGGCGTGGTGTCCGGCGCTGACCACATCGGATCCACCCTGGGATCCAGCGAACTGCTGTCCGGCGGCGTGGAGCACGTGGGGACTTCCCTGGGAACGACCGGTCTCGTGTCCGGCCTGGATCATCTCGGAACCGCCGGCATTATCTCCCACGACAGCGGATACCACTACCCGGCGCCGACGCTGAAGAAATGGTGAAGATCCCCTCCTCCTTCCTTCCTTCTACCCTCCTTCCTCCCCCGACAATTCGGTCGGACGATTCGCTAGGATACAGGCGCTTCTCAAGTTGCTCGCAGATTGAACGTACAGGATACACGAGTCGTGTTATGTACGCTGCCAAATAAATTTATATTTTTATACCGTACACCAAGCAGTCGTTCCTTCGTGTCACCGTTCGAAACGCGTGGTTATCTTTCTCTCTCCTTATCTCTTTCTCTCTTTCTCTCTGTCGTTTCCCCGCGCATAGCTCCACGTCGCAAATCTGCGAGATTTCCCAAGTCCCAAACCGTGAGACCGGCCGAGCAATCGCTCAACTCGTCACGATTGTCGTCTCCGTCGCGTTTCACCGCCTTACGTTCTCGTATCAAATAATGTTCGGTGTATTCGGTGTATTCCTTGAAAAAATTGTACCCCAACAGCCGATGATGTGAGCGTTACGTCACAATGTAGCGAGCGAGACACCCCTCGAACTTCTTTTGTCGATAACGAAGATACCTCAGCTCCGTAACTTAGGTAGGCATTTTGTGCAACGTTTGTGAGGACAAAATAAAAGAGAATTTTATATGGCAAAATTTTCTTCATGACTCCTCCTGACATCTCTGCTATTGGGTGATGGTGAATTCAAATGATTACTTGTGAAATCATTCGTTTAGCAGCCCGCCGTTACGTAGTTACGTAATAGAGTGTAGTAATAATATAACAATTCACGCATTTGTCGGTATTTGTTATAACGCACTTTTACTTTCGAGCATTTCGAGCAGTTTCCAATGTACATTTTAGCATTTGATTATACATTTCCGCATCCGTCTTAAACCCGGTCATGTTATCAGACGAATGTACATTCGAGTGTTTTGTTCGTTAACAATTAACATTTTATCCCGCTGTATATATTTGGAGTCATGCAAAGTTAAACGATTGCATGGCGTTTCGCAAATGTGACCTTCCGCTAAACAGATTCAAAATTCGGCCTCTTTTCATATCGAAGTAGCCATTCGATCAGTTGATAATTCAAGTTAAATTTAGAAGTGCCTATTCATTTTCGAAACTGTCATTAATTGTTATATAAATATATACATTTGTAAACACTTTATTTTTCAAACAAAACCAACTCTTTTTAATATACTTTCGTAGGAAGCCATATTAAAACTCCTGCTTTTATTCGTGCAATTTTTATAAATAACGTTCCAATTAAGAAATATTTCATTACTTCGAGACTGGAAATCGGTTGAATAGCACTTTGACGAATGTGATCGTTAAGTTTTTAATTTAAAGTATAGATTAATCATAAATATATTGCACAAAATATAAAGGAACGGGAGGCATGGTAGCACTTTCTCCTCTACTGTACAAATTTCTTGGGCGAGAGGAGCAGGACCAAAGGATGCGGTATCGAGTGACCTCGAGAGGAGGAACGCGCGGCAGCGCAAGTGCGCAACCAAAACCCGAGCGATGCATCGGTATTAAAGCGGAGGTGCTCCCGTGGCACGTACGACGAAATCGATGCAATTGGCTATCGCGGCGGCTCGGCAAGGTGGGAGAACTGACGTCACAAAAGCTCCTTTCACGTCACACGGAGCCACCAAACCGGACACAAGTCGGAGCTTTGTGAGCGAACAAAGCTCGAATCGATGCTTCCGAAGCTTTTCCGTGCGAGGTGGCGAGAAAGTCGACTCGGCCGTCGATCGAACTATTCTTCATCCCGGTTATTTCTGCAATTACCGTTTGTCAAACTGACCCTGGGCAAACTGCAATTCGCGACGGTGAATCTGAGAAAGTCTACTTCCGTTCGTGCACTGAGAAGATCTCTCCAAGTTTAATCAATTTTATCGCATCCGAACAAATTTCATCGTTGGCGTACTTCGAAGAAACTAATGTTTCGATTAATAAGATCGTTAGACTTTTTCAACGAATACGTATCTTTATCTTAGATGGGAAATTTGTTCGAAACGAAAGATAATTTGTTTATAAAGAAATTATTTGTTTCATTTTGCATATTTATTATAACCAAATAATATTTTATTCGGTTAGAAGGTAGTATTTCAAAGAATAGCGTTCTTTCTGTTAAATAATCGAGTTTTCTTGAATGAGATGACAAAACTTTTATTCAAATAATATTTCACATATGTTGTTTCCGACAACAGACTAGCTAAATAAATAGAACTACAAAATTTGAAAGCACCCTTTCTTTTCCGTGTGTGAATCACAAAATCTCCACCGAAAAGTCAAAAGCGAAAGTTGCAATCTGTCGTGTTACACTGAGAGAAAACAAAAATATAGTGGTATTTGCAACTATAAACATCCGAGTGGAAAAATTATAGTAGAGGGGAGCCTTTTTTCTAAGTGTTTACTATAGTCGGTGATAATAATTTTACATATATATATTGCTACTATTATTCTTATATTGAGTGGCGCGCGACATGACCGACTATTTGCATCGTAATTAAAATCTTCATTCGCCGTGCAATATTAAAAATGCATACGGCAAGAGGAAGATAATTTCATGGGAATTTATTCTCTACGAAGCGCACGTTCAATATCACCACCGTTCTATCTGCTAACTTCCTGCGTAGAAAATTATCCTTCTTTTCCTTACGTTCGTTTCTAATATTGTACGGTGAATTTTATTTTATTCCCAGAACAAACAGTGGATCGTATCGTGCGCCATCCTGTAATTGAAATCACAATAAGGGTAAAAATAACGGAACGGAAAGGAACGCGCCGCCGTATCCTCCGGATATTTTCAACTGGAAAACCTCTCAGACGGCGCACCGCCGTTTGAAATCTTACAAGAAAATACGCTACCGATGAGGGAATACGAAATTCGTCGAAGAGCACCGCGGCCGGTAAAATACCACGCGTAGAAATGCAATTTGACGCAACTCCCGCGCAAAGTGGATCCATAAATTTACACAAAGTCGGTCGCTATTTGCCGAGCTCATCGTCCACTGTGTACACGACGGTTCAACCAACTCTCTGTGCAAATAGTGAAGATTAAAAATTAATATTGGCAAAGTAAGTATCCACTCTTGTCGCGAACGATAAGGTCCGATAAGCTGCCTCGATAACGCTCTTATCTCGTAATAGCGGGACATTGAATCAACTGGTTGAGGCCGGACGTTAACGGCTGAAGCTCTCGATAAGATCGCCATCGAGCGAGCGGACGACTCGCTTCATCATTTCACGTCAATTATTTATTCGCCCCCGACCTCAACACGCGACATTTTTGTGTTACACGTTCGCAATGCGCGGCTCGCGCGCTTATTCATTCGCCGCAGATAACTGCGTTTCGCACAGTCGTTGGGACGTTATCGGCCGAACGAGATTCAGCGAATCACGCACCACCGTCGTCCACCACGTGACCGTCGGCCGACTACATCACGAAGAAGGCCGAGTGTGGCCGTCGGTATCACGCAATAGCCAGAAATCTATCGTACCGACCGCATCGCCGGCTGATAAGCGGAGGCCCGCCTTATCAGCGACAAAACGGGCGCGCTTGCTCGGCGAGCCGCAAATAGTTGAAGTAGAAATATCGACTTACGGTGCGACGGTCGGCGCCGATAGCGAAATGTTGAATAAAATCCACACTCACCTGAAACAGAGAAATCAATATTGCTGGTTATTGTTGGATCAGCAAACGCTCGGAGAAGACAATTTCGCGACAAATCCCAATTCGAGAAAAGAGAGAGAGAGAGAGAGAGAGGGAAATAGGTACGCTTGGAAGATTTCTTCAAATTTAATCAATTTTATCGCATCCAATCAAATTTCATCGTTGGCATGCTCCAAAGAAACTAACGTTTCGACTAATAAATACGATGTTAGACTTTTCAACAAATACGTATCTCGATCTGAAATAAAAATTTGCTCGCGAAACGAAAGGCAATTTTCTTACAAAGAAATTATCGGTTTCGTTTTACATATTTCTCGTAACCAAGTGATATTTCGTTTGGTTAAAAGATATTATTTCAAGTAACAGCGTTCTTCCTGCTGAATAATCGAGTTTTCCGGAACGAGACCGAAAACATTTTTACTCAAATCATATTTCGCACACGTTGTTTCGACGAAACCAATTTTACTCAAACAAATGAAAATGCTAAAAGGAACCGGTTTTCTCTCGGTGACGGGGAACCTTATCCGATTGATTCGCTCTCTTTTTTTGTCCGGCTGCGCGATATTTTTGCGTTTCCACGACTCGTGCGACGTCCGTGTTAGCCCTTGCCGGCTTCGACCGTACTTTGATCGTTGGCATTGTACGCTTAATAATGCGATGATAGATTGCAAACACCGAGAAGGCACGGTATAATGTCGAGGCCTCTCGGATATGCCCCCCTGAGACCCTTACTGACACACTTTGGACTTGAGCCTTCGATACCATCGTGTCGTGTCGCGTGTGTTTGCACGGGACCGATCCCGAGGGATCATTCCGCGTCTTCCCGTTCGCGATCCTCGCAGGATACTCGGTAACACTTAGAGGGATACCTCTCGACCGATCGGAGATACGTTCGTATATCGCCTCTCGCACGCAACACACGCGCCGTTGAATGTTTAATTAATCGCCCGGCAATTATTCAGGGGGCTCCTCTCTCTCTTCGGCTCGACTGTTGCCATGGAAATAACGCCGGGCTCATTTTCGACCGCGGACAGACTAATTGATCGTAGATACGTGACAATCCGACCACTTATTGATCGACTATCGCCGTTGCTACACACCGACGCTTTTCCTTCCCGTCGGAGTAAATCCGTCGAGGCTCTCCTTCTTTTCATACACACGGAGAAAGGAGGTCGGTTGAATCGAGGCAATTAGTCCGTGAATTTCCTTTCTCAGGGATTCTCGGGGGAAATTTGTAAAAGACCGACCATACCGATGCTGAGGTAATTAAAGTTCAAGTTAGCACTTTGGAAATATGATATTATTCGCAACTGTGAAATTATTCACACGTATCGACAGCTGCGAAAACGACCTTCGATCGTCACATTTTTCA